ACTTTAACATTGGCTAATATATTCATGTGGAAATGGCAAAAAGAATTCGTTCGTCAACAAGATATTACTGGTGAATTATTTGGCAGGTAAGAATTATTGCATTTAAAAAGAATATTTATATGTTATGTATTCATGCTAGATACATCGATGATATCTTGATGACTTGGAATAAATCTGAACAGCAACTAACAGAACTATTGCATGAAGCTAATCAATGGCATCCAAATATTAAATTAGATTATAGAATTAGTCAAAATCTCCCATTTCTGGACGTACTTCTAACTAATAATAATGGTATCCTTCAAACATCTGTTTATCATAAGCCAACTACTGAACCATATGTAGTGCCATTCACATCTGATCATCATCCATACATCTATGCCAACATGATTCAGACTGCACTAGCTAGAGCAGTTCGATATTCATCAACATTTGAAGCATTTAATCAAGAAAAGCGCCAAATCAAACTAATGTTTCTCTACAATGGGTACATATTGTCTTTTTAAATATGGGAAATATCTAAAATTATAATTATCAACTTTTCTTTTAGTTATTCTTCGTCATATATCGAAGATCAATTTCATAAATACTTTCTTGGATATATAAATGAAGCTGCATTCATACCAGTCGTTACTGAGATGACTCAATTCTTTCTATTACGTCAGAAGATGTTGGCTCAACCCACGGCTCGTCAAACACAGGTGGCAAGAAGTATAGCAGCAGCAGCAGCAGCTAATACAACTGACGAACCATCCGAAGATTTAACAACAATAACGCATGAAAATGTAGTTCATTCACGAGATCGATCCTTCATTCATTATACACACGAGAAACGATTCCGTCAATTCAAACGCGATATGCATCAACTATATCAAAACGTATTCCAAAACACACCAGCTATAGCTGTGAAAATGGTAGTTGGTAATCGCAATCGTCCAGATAACACAAAAGAACTTGTGCATAAACGTCCAAAACAATTCTTATTGTCAAACAAGTACAAGAAAATCAAACATTTGAAAGTTAAAAGTAAAGCTTGTAATAGATGAGTGAAATTCATACTTTTATTTGATTTTAGAACGACATCGACAAGTTCGAAAGAGATCTAAATGAAATTTCTCAACTGTTGTGTTATCAAAGAAGTTTCAATGAACTTTTCTCCATGAGTGGCATGTTTTTTTTTTAATAAATATTCTATTTTATCTTTTTTTTCATTATTTTAATCTAGAAATACGTGGTTATTCTCTTTTCAGATTATTCTTTACGATTAAACTTGTTTGTATTTATTACATCGTTGATCTTATTATTATTATTATTATTTTTACTTTTTTTGATCATTTATTACCAAGAACAAAATTAAAATAACAAAATTACTTCTAATAGTACTTTGGTACTGATTGATCAGTTTCTTTCTTGATTGTTTCGACAGTTTTTTCACCGAAAACTTCACATTCGTCGTCAATGTCTGGCACTTGACGAAGTTGATCATTTGTTTCGGGAAATTTGTAATTTGGAACTTCACTTGCCCTGTATTGATCTATATGGCGGATAACTTGAACATAATGTGAGGATAATGGTGAATTTGGTACAAACTACAAGTAAATATCAATAAAAATTAAGATTATATTATTTAAAAGTTTTTTTGTTCATTTTTGCTTACTTCTGCATTTAGATTTGCACGAAAAGTTGGGAGACGCACTGCTCTTGACATTTTGTATTGTCGATTTTGATATGCACGAAAACTGAGGAATACCACTGATATGATATTCTTTGCCATGATATGATATTTATACTTGCATACGTGCTCTCATGAGAGAAAATCTCATTACATACTTTTTCTTTTAAGCAAGCCGAATTCTGACACGTATTACGGACATTTCAATTGTTAAAGTATACTTTGAAACAATTGTACAACGAAAGTTACAAATACTTTCATTAGTGGATTTACTGACAACTGAGCAATTAGCAATTAGTATCACATGGAAGCATTTTAGACATGATGGTCTAGAGGATGAAATGATCAGCATCGAATTCTCTATCATACAGGAAATTTTTATAGTTGTAGCATTAATAATACAAGAGATAGAGCATATGTGACAAATATCGTAATTAGTTAATTGTGTCCCTATGCAGCAAGATCAGAGAACTATACCCGTGTCAATGTGATATGTGGACAGTTCTCGGTGTTATTCATTTATTACACAGACACCGTTTTCTCTGATAGGATCCTCTTCTGTTCTTGTACTGTACACGAAAGGAACTAGATGCTGATCTCCCTTCATATGTTTTATGTACCGCAGACCATGAGGTCTACTCTCAATCGAACATTAAGATTCAGAATTTTCTGATCACAGTTCTGATAAAGTGTTGGCATCGTATATAGGATAGAGTTGAAGCATTTTAGCTGAGGACTTCCACTACTGTTTGCTTAGCTCATATTGTCTGTACCAATTCTATTAAAATGAGGAAAAACTATTTGTTTATTAAGTTGTTTGAAAAGATAATAGTTTTGCATGTAGGTTTTCAATTCTTTTAACTAATAGTAGTATTAAGTCAATAAGTTCGAGTTGTGACGATCCTTTCTTGCCTGGTTTCAATACACTGTAACCTGTTGTTACTAACTTCGCTCTTGATATATTGAACTGACACTGTTGTTGGCTAGATGCCCATAAAAACATGACACGATATGAATCTTTAATTCTATCTTCAGTGTACAAGAATACTATATAAAGTCATTCTTCGTTCAGAAATCATACTGTAGATGCACGTCGAACACTATCGTTTGCCATTGCTTGTTTTCTCAATCCATTTGATATTAATCTAATGTAGTAAATAATAATATTAAAATATTTTCTCAAAATTGTATTCAAATCGGAATAGATATTGGTTTGTGCCACCACTTGTCCAATTATATTGATTTCGTTCTGTTACTTTAAAATGTTTTCATGATGAATACAACAGCACATATCCATGCTCTTGATCTTAGTGAATGTTTTCATGGTAAACCAATCGTTTCTGTAATAACGAAATGTGGCTATTCATTGCATGTTGTCAACCACCTTCTTTTATTCTATTACATCATGATCCTATGATCGTATAATATTTCGCATAGGCTCTGTGTAATGACAAACTGGTTGAGCAGCTGACCGCTTCTCACGGTATAGATGTTTATTGACTACTCTACATGACCAGAATGTGTCTATTTCACAATAAGTCACACGCTTATATAGAGAAGAGAGATAGAGAGAGATGACCCGGAGATAATATGATATAGAGGTGAGAGAATAAAGAACAGAAAGAGATGAACGATATCATTATCGTTACACTCTGCTGCTCATTTTCCCTTTCTCTCTATGTAGGGAAAAATATATATGCACTGCTTTCTCATTTTAGATTGTTTTTGAAGATTAGAACAACATCAATGAAAGCAAGTGGCGCAAATGAGCTCAACGAATATTTCAGCTTGGAAACTCAAAGTGAATTACATTCAAAATCTGACAATGATTTCGCAAATAATGCTGTCTTACTTTGGGAGAAATCACATTATCAGCTGAGGTGATTTCACTTTTTGAGATAATAACTGGAATTGCTTATGACTTGGATGGGAAGATGTCATTCGATTTATTCGAACTATCTCTTGGGGGAAAGTCGTTGAGGATCTCTGTGAGAAGGAGATAGATTCCATGCAAAGTTAATTGATCAAGATATTCATTCATCTCCACGTCAAATGACACGGCTTTTAGGAGACGCCGAAGAAATTGATATGTATCTGGCAGTATCTATATTTATGGCTTATATATAACGTTCAGAATTGACGATTCTGGATCAATCCATTATTCGAATATATTTTCTCTGCAAGAAATAAGTTTGAAGTTAGATTATTTTATTTATGATGCTTGTCTAACAGAATGTGTAATTGTACAAATACCGCAATGAGAGCAAGGAAGATAGACATTGGCAGATACGAAATACTTAAGGCAACGTTGGACTTCGTATTTCTGATTATTTCTGATAAAATCATATTGAGAAAGACTCTTATACGCTTAAGTATACTTGTTCAGTGAACAGATTACATTGATATTTTAGAAGTATTCAGATTCGTACACAACAGTTATCCCGTTTGTTTTTTATTTTATGTAAGTATTTATTTATTCACTTCGCTTGAAAGCGCATGTGACTCACATTCATAAACATGCATAGAGAACGACAGGAAAGGACATCTGATAACATGAAACAAAACTGCTGATATATTGGTTATAAATAGATAAAAGAGATATGCCACTGATATTTTACAATTTTAGATTTTCAAGATAAAAACATGTAGTATGCTATCAGAGCCAAAAAGATAGGAGAGATAACTTAGGTAGGTAAGCATGTACGTGGCAGTATCCAATGTATAAGCTGCTGCTGATGGTGATAATCATTGAGCTAGGTCGAAATGTGTATTAGACTGAAAGAGAGATGAGACTATGCCTAGTCTTCTTGTTCATCTTTGTTTATATACCGCTTCACTTTTTCTCTGCATCTAATTTAGTAGCCAGTGCACGACCATTTAATACCTGGACTGTTTTCATAAACCCCTCATACTTTGTTCTAATAAGACAACATGCAAATATCAGTTAGTATAACTACATTCGACTAAGCAACTAAAACAGTGAAATAAGAACAACAGATTATCACAATTGATGGTCTTATATAATTTATATAGTTAATGTTTTTGACCAAGTTTGGATGAAGACACCAGTTGTACTTTCCATTCGAGGATAAAAGGATGCAACATGTAGTTCTTTGAAAGCAGACCTATCATCAAACAATTCATAGCTTCTGATAATTGTCAGAGAGTTTCCATTCTTCTATCGAATAATAGCATTTATGATTATACCTGTTGAACACTTTGAGAAATAGAAATTATAGTTGTAGCAACCTCTCTCGGTGCTCATCTTCACATCCGATTACATACTATTTGGTGAATGGAGAATGATCGAATTTGGACATTGTAGAGAAAGATCACACATTACATTTTCATTTCGGCCGAAGAATTCACATAAAATTTCAATAGGTAAGTACACATACAGTGTAAAGTGTGAGTAACATACATTTTATATAACTAACGGTGAATGTTATTGTAAAGATATGAATGCACTACCTTGACGGAATAAATAACGCTTGAACTGGTACATTGATTGATCTTATGGTATGAATGTTTTAGTGATACACTACATATGCAATTATACGCTTAACAAGAATTGAAATGAACTACATGGAAGTTAGGATTTTATCCTGTACAAAGCCAATACTCTTTATTCGGAACAGAACGAATTAAAATATAGCGCTTTTGTTATTATGGACTACAGAAGAAAATGATCGTATGATGTAATAAGAATACAAAGATATTTGTGCAAAACTGATGTTATATTATTGAACTCAGAAGATAAACGAACTTATTCCTAGATGATTTACGTACTGGATTCAATCGAAATGATACTGTTAATTTAAACAGCTATTTTGTGAACTGAATTGATTCAAATATTGTACAATAAGACTTCAGAGTAATGTTTTGAAATAATTGTTACATATGAAATTGATATGATTGCTTCAACAATAATCTTAAAAATAATAGTAAGCAGTATCAATGGAGTTCATTACAACTTAGTAGTTGCAATAGAAACATCACCATTCGATCCAAAAGATGGTCAAGTTCAATGAGCTTCTTCTAATCGTACTGCAATCAGTTTGGTTCTTATCTAAATGTTTTCATATCCTTGTACAGATTGAACAATAACTTCTAGTAATAAACGAATAATTTGAGGTTTGCCGTCACGTTTGCTATAGATACAAGTATTTGAACTACCTACATGTACATCAGCAACTAAGCATTGATTTTGATTCATTCAGTTTGATATTTCTACTTGGTTATCTTGTAGGTATAACATAGAACATCAACCATTTGATGCTGTGTGCGCTGAGTACGTTTAATATGCATAGTACACATTGTATGGTAAAGTAAATCTGAATACCGAATCATTTTCACGATTACAAGAACGATATTATATCATTGAATCATACTCAAGGATACTAAGATGATTAAATAATCTGGAATGTAGCTTGCTTCTTTTCATTACACTAACATTATTAATGACAAGTCTTCCTTGCAAATCAATTCATTTGTTCTGCTTAATTCAATTATCAGTCATGTTTCTTCATTAGTCTCTTCTGCTGTGCATATATATTATCATAACATATTAGAAGTTTCAAAATTGTCATTTTGTTCGCTTGAGATGGGTGAGTCTACTTCGACAAGGATATCTTACTATGATATAGACGGTGCTTCAAAACATTACAATTAATTACTTCTACAATAATGATTATCACCATACAGACATCGTCTCCATTACTAGATGTTAATAAGCCTGAGGAATGAAAGAAATTAGGTTTCTGTGGCTAGTTCGCATTCAAATCGGTTCTCTGGCACTGCTAATACCTATTATATACATTGATCATCATTCTAAACTGCTTATAGTCTCTATAAATCCACGATTCCAGCAAAAAAACGACTTTTTCCCGATTATTTCTTGTAAAAATCGACTTTTTTCAAAAAAATAGGTGGCGCCCTCCTGCTGTGAGCAATTAGGACCCCCCGCTGTGATTAATGGCGCCCCCCTGCTGTGAATTAGCGGCACCCCCTGCTGAGATCAAAGGCGGCACCCCCGCTGAGATCAAAGAGGTGTGAATTTCACACCTAGGTGTGAAAATCCTGGCGCGCGCGCGCGCTTCGCGCGCGCGCACAGCCGCGCTTCGCGCGGCGCAGTCGCCCTTCGGGCGACAAGGATGTAATGAGTGTCTCGATAGAAGAGGGGATTGTTGTAGGCCCACTGGAGTTGTGAATTGAGGGGGTGAAGTATTCGTGCTGGTGTTGCACCTCTAGACTTGACAGTGACACCTGAAGAGGAGCGAGCGCTACGCGCTCGCTTCTTAAAGTGTCACTGTCAAGTCTAGAGATGAAACACTAGATCGAACACTTTACCCCTCAACACAAAACTCTAGCGGGCTGTGGCCCAAGATAGAAAAAAACAGAACACTTACCGCCTACACCCTCACCTTCGGCCCTCCCCTCCTTGTGCCCTCACCCTCACCAACACCTTCACCAACACCAACACCCTCACCCTCACCCTCACCTGCGGCTATGCCCCGTGTATGCGTGCCGAAGTGCATTTTTGTAGCACACCTATGCACTTCCATCTATGCACTATGCAGTGCCATCTATACAGCGCCCTCTTTAATTGCTTGCATCTGACTGGTCAGTTGACCACAAAGATTCTGGGAAAAAACGGTGCCATTGTTCCGTAGCCTATATAACGCGTGCGCATCCTCAGAATTTATCATTCCAACTCAATACAATCAAAATTATCTTCTCTTCGATTATTCTTCCAACAGCTGCAATGTTTTCAACAACAGCAACAACAACAACAACAACAACTGGCCGAAGCATCAGCATGAGTACTTGTACTCAAGGAACACAAACCGATGGCCCAACTACCACCGGCCCCCAACTTCACGAGCTGATGGAGCTCCTTCGCCAAGTTACTGGTGACTTGGTCAAGGTCTCCAGAGGCGAGTGCTCTTGCCGGAAAGGGGTGGCCGTGGTAGTTCAAGAAAGTGATCTACCGGTTGAGCGTAAGTACATTACATTTGAAGAAAAAATGATTATTTGAAATTATGTAGAACACGTTGCTCAACCGGCACCTCCTTCCAACAACATCAGTCTTGGCGATGTTGAAACTGACTGCCGCGTGGTAGTCAGTCAACTCTCGTCAAGACTGGTGGAAATGTTGGAGTTGAGTGGTATGACACCAACACCAGCACCGGCCAAAGTTTCAACCCCACCACCGGCCAAGTCCCCAACACCTCCACCACCATCACCACCGGCCAAATTCCCAACGCCTCCACCACCACCAGCCAAGTCCCCAACACCATCATCATCGTCATCGTCGTCGCTGATCTATATCCCACCAAAACCACGAACAACACCACCACCACCACCAGCTCCCCTCAACACCGCCTCCACCATCACCATTATTCCTCGAGAACAACCAAAGGGCCGCGCCATGAAGATTAAAAAAGAAGTGAAACGATTCTCGTCACATGGCCGGCCACTTACAATTCCCCAGCGGTTGGATGCCGCTGGGCCATGCAACAAGAAAAAACGGCAGCCACGTACAACATCTCGGCTGCCCAATTTAAACAAGTTGGAATTACCCAAGGGCCGGGTGAACAAAGTGGCTTGGGTTAAAAAATATATCAACGGCTTACCAGCCACTCACCCGGCTCAAGAAGACGGCGACGACGATGACAATGTCAACTTGGATTTAACTCCAAATTCCCACATCAACATGGAGTCGGATGACTCCGATGGAAATGAGTCGTTCGCAACGGCCGACGACGGCTCAGCTCCATCCATTATGGAACTTTAATTTTTTTCTGTTTGTTTTTTTTTCTTTTTGTTGTTCTTTTTCTTGTTGTTCTTCTTGTTTTTCTTGTTCTTGTTCTTGTTCTTCTTCTTCTTCTTGTTCTTCTATTTTGTCAATTTAATCTCGCTGTTGTTTTTCTGTTTTTTTTCTTTTTCTTGTTTAATAAATTTGTTGTACTCTCTTTTTAGAGAGATTGGTTGAAGAATTTACTTATATCGATCAGGTTGGCACCACTTTATTTAGCTCCAAGATAATATGAAAAAATTATTTCTTACTCCAAATTTACTTAATATCTTCTAAGAAAAAGAATTAGTCTTAAGTTGAAGTTATCGTTGGAGACAAGTAACAAACTTCTTCATTTATATAATATATAAAATATTCTGAACAATTTCCCAAATTGAAATATTTCAACATAAGTAACTTTCTCTTGATGAAGTCCAAGAATTTTCTTTTGACTTCTTCGAATTGATTCTATCGATGAAAGTTTTTTCGATTATCTGCAATTAGTATTATATTACTTTTTCAAACATCTCTACTTACCCAAACAGATTGATATTTTTCTTCTTATCCAAGATGGAAACTGTTTCAATAACAAATCAAAATTTATTCGAATGATTTCGATCGGTAATAATGAAACTAAATTGAATTCTCATCGGACTTAGTTGTTTTATTCTATACTAACATTTCACGAAACTTGTAAACGAAAGTAAAGCTTCTTCTAAATGATACTTTATTAAATAACGCCCACATACTCAACATTCTGGTCAACATTATTTCTCAAGTTTCATATCCGTTCAAGTAACATTTGCTAATCAAATCTTACATTCTTTCATTGATTTCTTTAACAATTTACATAACTTTTCAATCACATAATCAACTTATAATGTTTTGTTCAAATAATACTTGGCAAATTTGATTAAATTCCATCATTGTAAAATATATATTGATCAGTCAAAACAATCATACTTTTATCTAAAACTAAATTCCACTAAGAAACTGTTTGATTATAACGGGTGGCCCAAAATAAATGGACCTCTCAGTATTTTGGTTATAACTTTTTTGCTTCTCGATGTTTAGAGCTGTTTGTTTCACCAAAAGTCACCCAACTACTAAATGAAAAATATTCCAAACATAAAAGATACCTAACTTTCAAAACGAATAACTGTTTCGCAAATAATAAATATTGTTACCTATAGGTTTTTTACAAACAAATTACACTAAAAGATGTAAAGTGAAAAGTTCTGGAAGGTTCATCATTAAATATAGTTTAAGCTTGTACTTTTCATTTTCAAAACAATGTACAACTATTTTTCAAGTTTACAAGAAGGATCACTTTATATACAGATTCGAAATTCGTTATTCTAATTTCATTTTTATTATACCTAATGTCTTCTAAGCCAATAAATTTGTTTTAAAGTATCCAAAAATCTATGTTACAAAAGCATCATCGTTCTTGTAAACTCAAAAATCAGCTGTGCAATATGTCGAAAATGAAAAGTGTATGTATAAACTAAATTTAATGATGATGGATCTTATAGAGCTTCCTACGCCACATCGTATATCTGCTCGATGATTAAAAATAACATATAAAAAACTAGTCATTCACGACATTTTATAAATGTGAGGTCAATTAAGATTTTGTAGAGAATTTCAAGGCATATCTTTTGGTGAAACAAAGAGCTGTAAACATCGAGAAGCAAAAAAGTTATAACTAAAATACTGAGAGATCCCTACATTATGATCCTTTCTACTAACTCTAATTAAAAACTAAACGCTTCCGTGGATTCCGCGGCCGTCATTCTAAATCAATAACTTTTAGTCGTTGCAGTTGTGTGGTTGTTATTTTACTTTTTATTATTTGATCTCAGCAAGTAAGTCGATTAAATGTGCTGGAAAAGAGTGGTTTTGCACAATAAAACAAAACAGAAATCTTTTTAGTTCAACCTGTTGAAGCTATTATTTCTATGAAACTTCAATCCTTTTTATTTTCGTACAGTTGTCCACTTAAAAAAGTAAGAAAAAACCGTTTTAGATCGATCTCCTTTTCATCATATGATTTTAATCGTTTTTTTTTTCGTACAAAACAAGACTTAGAAGGTCCCTTGAAAGTTCAATAATGTGGGAAAACGTATCTTTTCTTTTTCTGATTGAAATCGATTATTATTTGTTATGATTTCAAATAACTTTAAGGATTTGAAGTGATTTTTCAGATAACCATAAGTTAAGATCTTATTTTGAATCCTAACATTTTCCTTTCTATAAGAAATCTCACGGCGAAACAGGATTTTCCTAGATTCTTACTCGGATTAATTGGATAGACGAATACAACAAAATCTTGTCATGATTCTTTTAGGATTTTGCTTAGGATCTTAGCAGGAATATTAAGCTGATGTCATATCAAGATTCATCGGATAAACATACTTCACGAACTTGTCAAGAAATGAAGATAAATCAGAGAAAGATCTTAACAAAACAATAATAGTGCTCTCTTAACTTGAGAAATATTAAGTATTAACAGAATCTTGATAAGAAATTAAGACGAATTTGTTAAGATCTTCTCGAATTTTCATGTTTATCCTTAGGATTCTGACTAGATTCTTACATGTTTTGGCTTTAAATCTTGACGACTCCTGAATAATAATATTTAAAGGATGTTGTGAGATCTAGATTTCTTGAAGAACCTGTTAATATATTTTAGTTTAACAGAAATGTGTAATTTTCGTCAAGATATCTACAAAATGTCTAAATCTATGATATATCCGTCCAGAATCTTCTCAAGTTTTCATCATGATTTCATTTTCTTTCCTGGTCATCTCCTGTTTCATAAACTTTTGAAATAATAAAATCAAAGTATGATACAGTGAAAATCCACGATTTTCTCTGAACTATTTCCGATTCTTGATCACATTCAAGTAAAGAAATGAGAACGATCTTGGTAAGAGTCTTTTATGGATATAATACTTTTAAGTTTTATTACTCTTTTATTCTAAATTAACGATTACTCGAATTCATCAAAACAGTATGAAAATAATTAAATATATTGATTAATTTGTTTACATGGTCAAATCTGTATGTGTTCATATTTATTCTGTTCTATTTAGATAATCCTTCCAAGGTCTGAGTAAGTTCTAATCTTGTTATAAATATTGTCAAGATCCTGATAAACAGTAACTAAATACTTCTACTCGGATTTTCAGACTTCCTATCCAGATCTAGATATTAAAATAGTTCTATTTCACGTGTTTATTAGACACAAATTACTTTCGAATATATGATTTTCTGTAGTTTGTTGCTCGAAAATAGATTTTTCGAACAATAAAAATCGATGCAAATCAGTTTTACGATGATTTTTTATTGATTCTAACGGATTATTTCTGAGATATTCGGCTTTCATCGAGTGTTTTATCCATTTATTTTACATGGGTGAATAAATTCACACAAGATACTTTTTTTTTGTTATTTGTGAGAATATCATACTTATAACATATCCTAAAAAGACGATATTTATCGGTTTTTTCTTTTGTTTAACTGGTTTGTTCTGTTTCTCTGAGATAAGAGATATACATTAATTTTTTTCGTGGAATACAGAACAAAAGAAAAAAAGAAATACATATTTCTGAAAGAATGCCACGTGCTCTTCGTATTGTTTCATTTACATATATTACACTATCAAAGATTAACACCCTCAATATGGCTCTTCTCGATGTTGTTTTACGCTGTCCTCATTGCCATTTGGAAATGATTCGAAATGGAACATTTTTCATTCGATTTCTATGTGGTCATATTGAACATGCTGAATGTTTTATTCTTAGCCCGCTTACCAATCCTCCAAATCAATGCTCAACATGTGGTCGTGCACACACAGCAGCAGAGACGGTCTTTTTTAAATAATTATTTCATTCTCGTTGGTTTTCAATCATTTATTATAAACATTAAACATTGTTTCTTTTGTTTTTTCTTCTTTCGGAAATAAACTCCTTCGTTAATTTTGCTCACATTGTTTTAGTTCGGTATGCTAGTCAAACCTTGAGATTTTTATTGTTGTTTTAGACGTCGTGCGATTACAACATTCTTTCTATTTCGAAATCGACATAGTATCACGTAGCTGCTCGATAGTGATGATATCTGGTAATACCTAGAAAAATATTCTTTTCTCTTTATAACAAATTGACCGTTCACATTCCAATTGATATAAAACGAACTTTGTTGATATTTTTGTTCTGAACTAATAAAATAATATGATTTTGATAAGAAAATGTAATACATAAGAAACTCTACCGATCGCATATTTTTTCGTTAATTTCTTTCACTAATTAAATAAGATATTAATGATTTGCACTCATTTTTCTAAATCGAACTTTGATGCGTACATGAAAATATGTGAATAATAATTCTGAAAAATCCAGGGAGCGAAAGAAACGTTTTGGAATTTGATCTACGTAATTCAATAAGATTTTTTACCGTATAAATACCGATGATATTTTGCATTGATAATCACAAAATTCAACAACTGATCTTCAAATGGCACAATCATCATCATCATCAATCATCATGCCCATGCAAGACTACGTCCAGCTTCTGTTACAAGCCAAAAATACTGGCATTAATGTTCAAAGTGGTCAAAAAGTGGCAAAGAAATGTGCATCAACACCTCAGATGCGAAAGGTTGGTACGGATGATTTATTTAATGAAAATAATTTTGTAATTGTAGGTGATTGCTGCTCGTAAGCTTTTACAGCGACAATATACACCAGTCAATTCAACGGCACCGACATCATCATCATCATCATCAACAGCAGCACCAGCAACAACAACAACAACAACAACAGCCGGTGGAATTCGATCAAAAAGCACAACTGATCCATTATCAATAACAACTGGTCAAAAACGAAAAGCAATTGGTGAATACCAGATACCAAAGAAGTATCGGTATTACTCCAGAGAAAACGTGGTCGATCAAGAAACGTTTTCGAAGTGCGTCGATAAAGCTTGGGAGAAAGCCGAATTACCACCAGCACGAACCAACGAAGAACTTGAACGTCGTCGTGAATTGACGGCGTACTTTCTAGATTATTATCTAGAAGACGCTATCGAGCGAACAGCTCACGAATTGACACGTCGTTTTTTTTAATTAATAAAATAAAATTGCATACATGTAAATCAGTTTTTGATTTTTTTAAATTTAATTCTATTCAGATAAAAATTACCGTATTATTGTAACATGGCTCATTCCAACATTTGTTTTATCTGCTATTGCTCCATTCAAGTTGATAGTAATTGTGGCTTTGTTCAATACATTTGTGGCCATATGGAGCATGAACTTTGTTATTTTCAGCATCATCCTCATAATCATACATGTTTAGTTTGTAAAATATATTCAAAAACATTACTTTTCAAATAAAATTCTTACTTACAGTGTGATAGTAATGTCTTGATTCACAAGTAATAGATGTATGAGGATAAATGAAGAAAAAAACAGCACAATTTATACTCCGCGAAATCTCTCTCTCTCTCTCTATGGCGCCATATATCAGACATAGATGCACGTATTCAGGACATCTGGAATATTCTCGAGAAGATTTGCCAGATGCCTCCCTGGATAATCTACGTTGTTGCATTCAATCACGTTCGAGTTGAACTTTGATTTCGCATAACTGAAGATATATTTCAACGATTTTCTGTGAAAAAGAGCACATTCCACGGACTTTGATCTCTCTCTTCTCACAGACTATATAAGACATCGACTTTTGCTTCATTTTACAACAAATGGCTCACACAGATTCAATCATCACAATCGACGGCAATTCGGGTGAAACTACCAGGAGTATTGATATTTTTTGTGCATTAGTCGACGAAAATATCTCCCTATCAACAGCATATATCAAGCAAATGAAAAAAGTAGGGATTCTGGACGAGTTTCTAGCTATTGTCAAACATGAATCCAAACGAAATCAACAACTCACCAGTGTTTTAGCCAAATTTGGAATTAAAATCGATCCACAGTTTTATCGACAACTCATACGACATGATTTATTGACACCTCTAGTGGAAGCAGTGAAAGAAATTCATTATGATAAGCAAGTCAAAGAGCTCGGCAGTTTAAAACGATCCTACGATGAAAGTGATGCAAATGGCAATGAAGAGGATCACTCAAGTAAACAATTAAAACTTACTCAAGAATATCTGACTGATCCTATACCTGAACTGTTTTCACTTCCTTCACTAAATAATAATGAAGATGATGAATAAATCTTGTCTTTCAACATGTTTCTTTTCTATTGTAGATGAGACGCATTAGTAATTCAACTTACCAGAAACCCACTACCGCCGTCGTTGAAGTATCATCCGATGATGATGATCATACTACAAGATCGACTCGTATATCAACAGCAACACCAACTAAAGCTTCTCAATTCGATTTCACCTTAGAATTTAATTCGCCTTCTGGTCTAGCTCAAAGGCCATACTTACCCTACACAATTAATGCCTTCAATCGTGCACGTTTAGATATTCTACCAAAGTATCCACCACAAGACAATCTCAATCGTTGGGATGACGATGATGATGATGATGATGCAGATGATGGAACAGAGCTACTGCTGGCGAATGTACCAAACGATCAATTGAATGCCTCAGAACGTGCATCTCGACGACCAGCCAAGTGTAAACCAGTGTTTTCAATTCACAACACCAAGAACAAAGTGAAATCTCTCATGTTTCGAAAATATCAAACATATTTCCAAAGTTTGATTCCTCGTTTACATGTCGACTGTGCCATTCTGGATTACAACTATATACGTTTGGAAGATACTATTCATCTGTGTCACGAGTCATACAAACGCACAGTGCCTGGTGCACAAGATTCAAGTAAGAATTTCATTGTAGATGATCAAGAACTACCACAATTATTGGAATTTTACTTACAAATCGATGTGGATCTCTTCTATATGAAAACGTGTTCATTTCGTCAAGCACAACCTCGTTCAGCAACTGAAGGTATCTTCTGTTCAGCAGCACATCAATGTTCTTATGCTATGGCACCTTGTGGTCGATGCAACTTGTGTATCTTAATGAAGAGTTCAACTACTAGATATCAACCATGTCCCATCCAATTCAATCTCTATCAGAAACATCGATTCGTTAATGGATATGAGTCGATTTTGAATTGTCCAGCACGATGTGATACGAAAAATATTATCTACGCTCTCACATGTCTGTGTCGACAATATGATTTTGTTGGTGAAACTAGTGATTCATTGTGGACTCGCTTATCTTCACATCAGATGTTCATTGATCGGCTCATCGTCGAACAGTTAGTTGGCACAAAGAACTATCAAGATTTGTATGAAAGTAAAACAAAACAAATCGAAGAGAAGAATCGTTCGCGGCTCTATCAACATGCCATGCGTTGCTCACAGGCAATTCAAGCGTTCTTAAATGTGAACAAAGACTATTGGGCATTTGTTCCAGTGCCTAACGCACAAGCAACTGCTCTGGATGCCAAATACCATGCCAAAACATCAACGTCAACCATTGATACACAGACAGAAAATTTCCTCTTCAATTTACCAAAGCCACCCGTCGGATACAAGTTTACTAGAAATCAAATTGAAGAGCAAAAACGATTCTTCAGTGACGGATTGTACACGAAGAAACGAAACAGTAACTATGCCACATGTATTGGCACAATAATAGCTGTTCTACCACCTGATATCAGCAAAACATTTCGTCAAATCATTCATTTCTTGTTTGTTTCACACACAGAAGCGAAATTAAATACACTAGGACATATTTTTCTCGTTCCTAGTAACTATCCTTTACATCACGGTGTCTGGTGTGCAAATCTTCTTCATCCTTGATATTCTTTTTCTTGTTTTAGATCATCATTCATCAACACCATGCGACCCACTATTCTGGTGATTATCACTATGTTTCTAAGTCTTCATTCGGATGGTCAACATTTGATTTCAAGCAATCGAACGAATCTATGTCGTCGAACAATGACATTGCAACAGATCCTGGAACTGTTAAATCATCATTCATGCCATTCGATCCTTATTCAAGTCAATCAACATATACACAAACGAAATACTGATGCTGGTAACTTGGATGTGCATGCCTTACAAACCACGATCAATGATCATCGCACCATGATTAATTATTTGATCAATAATTCCATCAATGCTACCTATGTAGCTGATGCCATCAGTAACCATCATTCAAAAACGGGTCCCATCTTCTCCAGCTGGCGTGATATCATCGATATTTGCACTGTGCTCTTACTTCTCGGCTTTATTATCTATTATGGCATCTTTCGTACTGGCTTTGGTCCATGTGATAAGCTCATATCGTGTTTTTGTCGACCGGTGATTGAACGTGCACAAAACCAACTACCACAGCAACAACCAGCACCAATTAGTCGCATCAATCATAGTTATTCACCACAATGAACACTTCATCATATTGAAAAAATTTTTTTCTTCAGTAAAATCTCTCTTTAATAGTGCATGTCTGCATGTGAGGATCTTTCATTGAATCTTTTCTTCTTTTGCTTCTAGATATAATCTATTGCAACAATGGCTCGTTTAATTAATGATGAAATTGTTTGGATGCCGGAATTCGAAGAACCCAAAGTAAAACAAAAGACTCAAGCACAACGACAACGTCGATGGCGACACAATCAAAGGAAGAGTGCACTCAACATACAATTGAGTCATTTACCAGCATTTTCAATGGATCAATCATACGAGTTAACCTTTATTAATTCGCTAACGGGATTCTTTGGAATACTTCATTTGATTGAACTGGCTCAACAGACAACTACTTTCACTATGGACACAGAACTGGATGGTTCATCATATCGGCCAGCCTTGATCCAACTTCAATTTCATTCAACAGCACGAAAAGATGGCAAGATTACAATAATTATCTTCGAAATGTTACATTTGCCTCCAGTGAACTCAGTGCTTTATCAACAGATCGAAAGATTAGTTCAAACTATCTTTCATTCTTCAAAAACGTTTCTCGTTTGGGGTGAAGGCGTTGATGAACTATCGAGATTTCAAGTTTATCCCTTATTTCAATCCACGGCAACGTATGCATTGCACTTTGCTAATGTACAAAAAGAATTCGAACTTTGGTGCAATGATCAGCAACGACAAGTATGGGGTTTGCAAATGGCAGTTGCTCAAACGTTTGGTCAATTTCTGGATAAATCATTGACAAGAAGTAATTGGGGTGTTGGATTAGATGTTCGTCTCTATCAAAATCTCCGACTGAATGAACTCAATTACAACGTCAAATTATCGTTAACTGAAGTAGAAGATCAAATTCGCTTGAAATTAATCAAATACGCTGTCGATGATTGCTTTGCCACCACCAAGTTGGCAGTAGCTATAGGATTGTGATTTTCTTTCTTTTTCTTTTCCATTCTCTTTAACATTATTTGAAAAGATATTGTTCATTGTAGATAGAAGTAAAATTCTTTCACAGTTATTCGGAAACTGATGGCTGAATCCAACAAGAAGGTATGTTTGCAATTCATTCTATTTTGAAAAACATTGATTTTCTTTATTTTGGAATAGATTGTTGGAGAAATCGATCGATTCGAGGATATTTTCCATGGTCATGATGATGATATCGATGAAAACGATGATCAACCTATCAATTTTGATGATTATTGGCTGAATTTCGGTAAAAATGAACGAATTGAAGAAGCACAATTGAAACCGTATGAAGAAGATGATGATGATGAAGATGATGAACCCAATCTGGAATATCCTTTGATCGTTCAAGAAGTTCTACAACGAGTGGTAGCAGAAGTGGCAGCAACACCGAAACCACCACCACCGCCACAACAAGAAGTCGAACAAGAACAACAACTATCGCAACAATTTGGTCGATTATCTGCATCAGGATCAGTGCAGCGACCAACCGCGATTGAAAATATACCAAGAGAATTAAGCCTGGGAACGAAACGTCCATTGTTAACACCAACGACACCAACAACGCAAGCAGTGGTGGCAATACCAAAAAAATTGAAAAGTGTTCAAGAACGAATCAGCGACAATGAAATACCTCGGTATTTATCTACGAACTGCAAACTTTTTGATCGTTTCATTACTCCTCGATTGGAAAAAAATCGTGTTCGCATTCCAGTGGAAAGTTTAAAAGCTACTGCAATCTTAAAACATCGACTGGCTTTACTAGATCTTCAACTACGATTATGGTCAGCATATTTGCAATCGGGTACGGCTCATTTACAAGGCAATAAAGAAGACATCGTGGCACGATCGCATCTGGTTACCTGGCCGAAAGAAGTCAAAGATAGTATGCTCGAAGATGGCTACGAAATGACTGACATGGGCAGCACAGAGCATGAAACCTGTTTGAATTATGTCAATGAGAAGTTAAAACATCTCAATATGCAAAACGAACGTTATCAAGGCCAGTTAAAACAACAAAAACAATCGATTGGTGTTGGTTGCAATTCTGTTATAGAAAAAGCAATCGATGAATTCGTCGAAAAGCATGGTCTCATGTTTCATCGTCTACGAATTGACCAAGAAATTGCTCGAATTGAATTCGAATACAAAGATCGCCTACTGGAATGGGAATTCAATCGAGAACATCCTTTTCAAGCTCATGTTCGTTATCTCTTTTCATCCATCACCCTCACACCCTTGATATTCTCTCTAGGTTGAAACATTCAAAACACTTACCAAATGTCATCTGGCCAAAGAAGTTCTCAAAATGGAAGTATCCTTGCTCAAGCAATATGTTGTTAAGAATTATTTACCAGATTATTTGCGAAAATTTCAACTACCCAAATTGGAAGCAATTGACACAATTACTGATCCAAATATGCGTCAGCGTCTGACTGATCGATACGACAAGATTCTGCAACGAACTGTATCTGACATCATGTTAGTTCAAATTTCAACAGCTGAAATACAAAAGGAGCAAACGCAGAAAAAATTCGATAACGATATGGCTACATTCAAAGTCAATCAAACACATGGACCCGTCTACAATAAATTAACGAAAACCATGTGTGATGTGATGCACAAATGCTTTACAAATCAAAGTCAACACATATTAACTGTTTACAAACTGAAGCTACGTTTTTTCGGGTGTGCTCCGACGGAGATGAATTAGATTTGGTTCACCGTTGGAGCGATACTCAAATAAACAAATCACCGCTTTTATTTTATTCTCCAAACACATTTATTCATGCTCGTCATCATCTATCGCCTGATCAAATACAATTTCTTCAACGTGGTCCTGCATATGTTTCACCTGGCCAATTACATCTCATACCCTACGATTCAATGATCGATCAAGTTGCATTGAGACAGTTGGTACCTTTGAAACAATCAATGACAAAAGTCTTTTCCAAACTGCATATCGATGTTGCACGGCAAATGAACTTTTCTCGTTCGATCGAAAGTAAATTTCTCCAGTCATTTGCTCAACCATTACCAACATTGGTCAAAGAACGTGCATTCTATGAACGAAATCTAATCGAATCAATCCAACGTCAAATCACCAAAGATCAACTGATCTTACAACGTACAGCTGATGAATACAATACATATTATCTTGGTCCAAAATATGATTACTATGACCTGGGTGATACTTACATAATAAACAATAAAGCCTACGATCTGGTGACTACTCTTGAAGGTCGCAATTCGACCATGTCTGAACAACAACTTGATGAAATGGTTCATTCGTGGAATTTTGCTCTCGAAGAATTATTCCAAAAGAAAATGATTCCAGATGACTTTTTGGAAAAATACAAAATCACCAATAAATCACAAGTGCAGCTTCCACACATGTATTTTCTACCCAAGATGAGTCAAGTATGATTACAATACCATGAAATTTCTATTTTCATCGTTCTATGTTTTAGACTGGTGAAATTCTATCATTGGAAGCAAGACTAACATCATGTCTTCAAAGTCCAAACTATAAATTGGCTAGTTATCTCGATGGTTTCCTACGATTTAAAGTTCTCATGGGTTGTCAAGCAAGTGCAGTGCAAAGTGGTGGTGATTTTATTCAACGACTGGATCAATTCTGCAAACAAGCAAATAATATCAAAGCTGACACTTATTTGGTCACCGTGGAGATTCCAGAACTTTACTCTCAAGTATCACATCAGAGTTTAATCATGACTCTGAATGATTTTTTACATACGCAAACAGTGAATGGTCGATTCGATCGACTTACTGTTACTGCACTGGTCGAATTAACTCATATTGTTCTACGAAATAATCTCTTTGTTTATCAACAGAAAATTTATCGTTACATGCAAGGTTGTCCAAAGAACTTATCGTTAATTGAACTGTTGGGTAGCATCTACATACATCGTTGGTCAATGAAATTAATTCGACAAATTCGTCTTACTAATGAATTTTATGCTCGATACCACAATACAGTATTTTTTACATGGAGTCAAAGCAAGTCTAAACTGGATCAACTATTGAAGAAGGTCACATTTACTCTATCAGGTGATCTACAAACGAAAATCTCGATTGGCAACAAAGTTCATTTTCTTAATGCATACATCGAAAATCAAAATGGTCATCTACACACGCGTGTTTACCATAATCCAAGCCAACAATTATTTCTCTTGCCATATGCTAGTGAACATCCACGTTTAACACATCGACAATGGTATCGATATGCTCTTGTACGTGCCGTTCAATACTGTGCTACACTGGAAGATTTCCACGAAGAACAACAGTATATCGAATTGTCCTTTTTGGCTAATGGTTATTCGTTGGATTTCGTTGAATATCATCTACGTCAATTCTTCAAACGCTTTGCTCATGTCTATCGGTCGAACGTTTCCATGAACCAGAATCGATATATGAAAATACGCCAGGAAATATTTCGATTTGTTCAGCAACAAAAAGATGCTTACCATGAACAACAACAACAACAATGGATTCAAAATCGTCGTTTGCTTTCGTTCTACTATCTATTCGATTGGGGCACTCGACATATATTCAATGCACAATTCTATAAACTCTGGAATGAAATTATCAGTGAAGATTCCAATTTCAAAGCACAAGGTTACAAAGTTATTCTGAAATCGAAACATTGCTATTCATCTTATACACTTTTGGCTCAACGATTCATTCATCATATTTAATTGAAATCTTTTTCAGTTTTCTTATTTTATTGCTTATGTTTGCATGTTTTTCTTTATTCTAGATTATCTTTTCGATCATGTCAAATTCAAATCAGAATATTGCTGATGATCTGGATAACTTCGATGATATCTTTCATGATTATGGTGATGATGCAGATGAAAAAGATGATGCGGAAATTGATTTCCTAGCATACTTGACTGATCCAAGCAAAAACACGGACAATGTCGATAATCCAACCGAAGAGATCGATATTCGATTTGATACCAGTACAGAACAACATCTATCGCAAAGATTAAGTCAAATGGCAGCATCCACCAGTGAACAAGACACAGGAAGAAAACGTCCAGCATTAACGCCAACGTCGCCAGTTTCATTGATGAAAAAATTAAAGAGTGATATCACTGATCCACTATCGTCAGAAGAAATGCCAGATTATCTACTGAATGATAGTCGAACGTTTGAACAGTACATGGGCGAGTCACCGTCGATTGAAGATCTACGACAGATTGCATATTTCGAACATAGATCAGCACTGATTGAATTGCATCTTCTATTTTGGACAACTCATCTCAATTCGGGTACTGGCCAATTGTTGATTACGGAATCAGCTGCATGGCAAATTTCGAAATCGTCTACTCGTCGAATCGAACGAGCTCGATTTCATTATTGGTCGGATAAACTAAAAGCAATCATACTTGCTGATGATCAAGTCAAGGTTCCAAACAATCATGTCACCTACGATATGTGTTTCAATTATGTCACAGAGAAAATTCGTCAGCTACGAGTACAACTGACAAAATATAGAACCGAACTGAAGCAACGAAAAGAACAACTCAATACTTATTTTACAGCAGCCATCGATGAAAAGATCAAATCGTTCGTTGAAGAATATGGTATGACATTACGTCGAATCCTGATTGAAAGTAAAATTGTTGTTATCAAATGTGATTACTATGATCGACTGTTCAAATCGAATTTTGAATATGAAGGTGCCTATGCTCATCAAGTATGTCACTATTGAACTCGAAATCTTCATCGACATCTTCTTTCCCTAGTTGAAACTATTCGAGAAAATATGCCAAAGTAAATTGAACAAAGAAACAGCTCGAATGGAAGTGGATTTATTGAAGCAACGTATTGTTCACCAACACTATTCGGATTTATTTCTTACCTTTCGCATACCAGAACCACCAGCTTTACTCACAGTACAAGATCGAGATGTTCGACTACGTCTACAGTATCGTTATAATGAACTTCTGCAACGAACGAAATCGGATATGCTTACAATCTATATTCGTACAGCTGAAGCCAAACTAGAAGAATACACGACCATTTACAATGAAGAATGTGCACAATTGCGAGGAGAATTCTCTGCTACACAGAATGAAGTCAAGGAAGATCGTTTTAGAAATATTGATGAACGCCTGAAGAAACTCTACGATCTTAAAATTCGTTTTTTCGTCGAAGCTCCGACAGCCAAAATAAATCTTATTTGAGCTGTCGGAGCAATTTTTGTGATATCAATTGTTCACCAAATCTATTTACGAATACTACACATCATCTAACTAAAGAACAAGTACAATTTCTCAATCGTGGACCAACGTATGTTATACCATGCCAAATGCATCTTTTATCCACATCATCAACGCTTAATCAAGTACTCACAAATCAAGTTATACCACTTCGTCGTCAACTAACCAAGTTATTTAAAAAACATCCAACGGATCTCCAACGTCAAAATGCTTTTCGACGAGATGCGGAAAGAGAATTTGTCAAAGCGTTCACACTATCCATACCTACAGCATTGGAAAAACGTGTCTTTCATGAAAAACAAGTCATCGAATCGATTCGTCGTCAATTGCAACAAGATAATTTGATTCTTCGACGTACTTGTGATGAATACAATACCTATTATCTTAGTGATCGCGTTGAATTTCAAATGAAATGTCTTGAATATATGGACGATCATACACAATGTTTTTTTAAAATCTATGGTATGGATGAAAGCATTTCCGAAGCACAACATCTCATTGAAATGATCAAATCAATCAATTCGACATTGAATCAACTAGAATTGAAATATATCATCGGAATGGATTATCTGAATAAATTTAAAATTCGTGATAGTACACCTCTGCAATTACCATATCTTTACTTTCTACCTGAACCCAATCTCGAACTATCTGTACAACCACGATTCTCAACATGGAATAATTCTCCGATCTATCCACTGGCAACTTTTCTCAATCAAATCCTACGACCCTTATTTGATAAATACATGAAAGATACTCGTTTGATTGATGGTACGGATCTCATCGAAAAACTACAACACTTCACTTTGAACAAAAGATCGTTTACACCAGATACACGTTTCGTTATTTATGAATTGCATCACTTATTTCTTCGAATCACACATGATGATCTGCTTGGTATATTGAAACGTATTTTAACTCGTGATTTGGCAGGAAAACGTTACAATGGATTGAAACAAGATGGTATTGTTGAATTAGTTCGTGTGGTTTTATCTCATCTTGCATTTACATATGATGGAAAATTGTATCAATTCAGTCGAGGTGGTCCAACAAATTTACCTCTGATCGAATCATTGATCGATATCTATCTACAGTATTGGCAATTGGGTTTCTATCGTCATACAGATCGTTATCGACAGTTTTATGCCCGATATCGTCATACGGGTATTTTCACATGGAATAATTCAGACAATGAACTAGCTGGATATGTTCTCGAACTCAATGAACAATATCCTGACATGCCATTGACGTTGTCCAGTGGTTTACATGTTCGATTTTTGGATGTTTACATTGAAAATCTTCAGGGTCGTTTACTTTCAACTGTTCATCGTGATCGAAGGAGACAACAATACTTCTTATTGCCTTACTCTGCAAAGCATCCACGATTGACTCATCGACAATGGTTTCGTTTCGCACTGACACGTGCTGTTCAATACTGTTCTTTTGCAGCAGATTTCCAACACGAACGTTTAGAAATCGAATTAACATTCTTAGCCAATGGTTACTCTTTGAAATATGTGCAATATCTCTTGCAACAATTCCTTCGACGACATCCTACACCTAAGGATTCGTTCTTATTCAATAAGTCTTCCTACGATACATTTCGTCATGATATATTTCGATATTACAATGCACGACAGTTACAATCAGTGGACGATGGCAATCTTGTTCAATTGCAATATCTGTTCGACTGGGGTAAACGTCATGAATTCAATCAGAAGTTCTATCAACTTTGGTCCACACACATTAATGCTGATCCAAATTTTCAAAAACTGAATTTAAAAATTATTCTTACTACTAAACATTGCTATTTATCCAATACTCTTTTGTCTCGATAGAAATGCTTTTTATTTCTTTGCTATTGTTTTAGATTATCTACTTCGATTAAACGATCATGGCTCAGCGATTTACAACAACAACAACAACATCATCATCAATTGCAAATGAATTATCAGCATTGTATTCGGAAAGTGATCAATTGTATTCAGCTCATATGAACAATGATTCGCCCACGGCGTCTCCATTTCGCACTCCAAATCGAATGAGATCAGGTTTAACAATGATCGATAATGATGATACATTTGATAATACCTTATCTACAACAATTTGTAATCCGTACGAGATTCGTACACTCAATGAAAACAACATGGCTCGTAAGATGATTCTACCAGTGTTTCCACCAGATGGATTGAGATCGTCAACAACAGATACATCATCGAAATCAGTTCATCTGTTATTAACAAATGTCTGGCGTAAGTTACACGATGAACTAGAAGATCTCTACTGCTTTATCTATGGTTTCTAGTTGAACAATTCAGTGATGAACAATTTGAACGCATACGTCGTCATGCATATTTACCACTTTTTAAATTAGAAATGGACAAAAGTGTTCCTCTCAATACAGAAGCATATAAAACATGCATGAAACATTCCTATATGTGGAATTTCTACCAGCAGTTGTATGTTGATACAAAAAAGCGTTTTCGAGTTGATATAGCACTCATTGATTACAATTTGCAACGTCTCCATGAATGTCTTACTACCGTTACTACTCAACGTAATCTTAATCAAAAGTCCTTAACTTGGGATGAGATGATATTAGCATTGGAGTTCTATTTACAAATCGATGGTAAATTATATCAGCTAGTTTTAATTGAGAAGTATTTCTCTATTTATAGTTGATACATTCTGTTTGAAAACATGCTCATTCAATAATGTTCAACCACGGGTCTATGATCATCAACGAGAAGGTCTCTTTAGTCTTGCTCTACCAGAAGCACGATTTGCAATTAGACCATGTAATAGTCGTTATTGTCATTGTTGTCATTCACCATGTCAACGTCGTTATACAACTGATGAGTCTGAACATCATCAAGCCATTCCTTTTTCAATTCCACATATTCATCAGTTCGTGAATGGGTATGAAGCTATTTTAAATTGTCCAGCAGTAAGATTAATGTTTGCTTCATATCAATGGATTGTCTATCATATATATATATATACTTCAGACTTGTGAAACAACGGATTGTATCTATGTATTAACTTGTCCATGTGGCAAATTTGATTATATTGGTCATACAGTTTCATCGTTTGCAACAGCATTGGCATGTGAGTCACCCTTATTTGGCATTTTCTTGACTACTTAGGGAATGTTATTGTAGATCATCGAGAAGAAGGTAATCGGATCATGCGAGAATTCTTTCTTGGTGAAATCAATACTGAATATCTTACACATCGTCTGAAATCCGAAGAGTGAGTGATTCTAATCAATTTTCATATATGTATGATACTTACTTGTTAGAAAACGAGCCAACGATCAATTATGGCTCTATCAACATTCAACACAATGTTCGGCTGCTTTAGAAATCTTCTTGGATGAAAATCCTAGTTATTGGTGTTTTGTACCAACAAAAGTGGCTGCTCCGAGTTTGAGCAATACACCTTCTCGAAATTCACCATCTCTTCGAACAAGCACTGAATCGTCATTTACTTCAGTCGATGAATCTACACGATTACGTGGTGAAGAAGAAATTCGTTTTCTTCTGCGTAATATACCGAAACCACCATCAGGCTTCGTATTCTCTGCTCAACAACGTCAACAACAAGCACAATTCTTTCAATCAGCAAGAGATCGTATTGTGCCACGTGATCTTCCCGATCTTTACAATGCAGATATTATTGCCGTTTGTAAGTAGCTGAATCATCAATTCGTCTCTTTTCAATGACTCTTCTTCCTTTAGTACCTAGTCATTCATCTGAATTATTGTGTGCATTGATTGAATCATTATTTATCACACATACGGAATGCAATTTGAATCAAACGGGAGATTTAGTATATGAACGAAAGAATCCAATTGGTGCTTCAAACAGTATCTGGTGTGCTAATCTTGCACGTTATGTATGGCCACATTTTTAAATTCTATTTGCTTTTCAATTCAGTTTTATGTATACTCATTTAATCATTCAAGAAATCGTGCATGTATTCAAAAAAAAACTATTTAGCTTTCTACTCTATTCTAGATTGAAATAAATTAATGTCACGTCGTCGTGGATTATTGTACTGTGAAGATTATCCAGATGAGGAAGAAAATCTTATGCCGATCGTTCATGACGATCCACATCAATCATTATCACCAAATCCACAATTAGCAGCACCGTCTTATGTTCCAGTTACATTACGTGGACCAAGTTATCGATATCGTATTTTGCCAGCATGTCCATCATCATTTCATGATGATCAACCACCATTGCTACTACCAAATGTACCAGGTAAATTAGAATTCTTCCATACTTAGCACATCTATTTCTATTTTCATTATTTATTAGTGAACAAACTCAGCCAAGAACAATTGTTGTATCGTCAAAGTGGTCGTTTTCCACTCACATACACAACGGATCCAAAGTATTTTGATATTCCATCTTACTTTTACAGTGAGTACCAAGCCTACATGAGTATGTTGATCTACAAGTACAACGTGGACGAACCAATCTTGAGTTATAATTTGGCTCGTTTTAAACAATGCTATGATATGTTTATTGATGATTATTGCTACCATCATAGTTGTTTACCAGAACAGTTCGAGATTACTACAAAGCAAAAGAATTATGCATTGGAATTTTATTTGCAAATGGATGGTGAGATCAAGTGTTATTATTCCATCGATTCTCTTCTCTCTTCAATTTCAGTTGATCTTTTCTTCATGAAAACATGTTCATATCGATCAGCCAAACCACGATCTAATGATGAAGGTCTCTACTGCATCGATGAACCAGAAGCTCGTTATAGTCTACTACCCTGCAACGATTGTTCACTTTGTCAACCACCAATTCACTTACCTGAGCAACAATCTACAATTCGATTTGGTCCAAATCAAAAGTTTCGTTTTATGAACGATTATGAGACCATTCTTAATTGTCCAGCTGATTGTCAAACGCGAAATATAATATATGTTATGACTTGTCCATGCAATAAGGCTCAATACATTGGTGAAACGAGTCAACGATTAGGCGATCGACTTTGGTGTTAGTTTCTTCTCGTTTTATTCTTATTTCAAATGAATGAATCATTGTTTTGCAGTTCATCGTCAACATTTCAAGCGAATCATTCATGAATTTTTGATTGGCGAAGAAAATGCCAAACATAGTCGATCCGGAGAAAAAACTTCAGAGTAAGTCATGAATTAAAAGACTTCTTGTATAAAAACAGCTGTCTATGATGCATAGAGAAGAGAACAAAGATCGAATGCTCTTATATAATCATGGTGCTCGTTGTCCATATACAATTCAGGTATTTCTCAGATATTATCCAGGCTATTGGTGTTTTATACCAGTCACAATCAATGAAGCAATGCAACACGATGCAAATTACATTCCATCAGCTTCGATTATCGTACATGATAATGTGAATCCAACTTCAATTGGTTCACGAAATCGTCGCCATGTACGAAAAACATCAACTACACGCTCTGATGAAGACGTCCGATCATGTATACGACAATTACCACCATTACCAACTGGCTATACATTTTCCGTTCGTCAGCGTGTTGCACAATTTCAATATTTCAAAAATAAATTGGATCTAGATCGGGCGCTAGATGATTCCGTTAATTTGTTCACTGCTACTGTTATTGCTGTCTGTAAGTACACACAATATATCTATACACTTGTATTTCATCTTAACATTCTAGTACCAATCGATGCTGTTGATATTGTTCGACGATTTGTCGAAGCATTGTTTATTACAAATGCTGAAACGAATTTGAATATTGCTGGCCGATTATTCAATAATCGAGAAACAAGCTATGATTTAAATCCTCGCAATAGGAATGGCTCCATGTCTGTTGAAGAACAAATACAGAATCGTGGTGATTGGTGTCACAATGTCGTCGTCGAATATTAATACATTCAGAACTATTTTTGCATGATTTTTGCTTTTCCCTATTCTATTTAATCAATATATATATATATATACTATCATGTTTTTATTTCTAGATTTTTTTTTGTGCAATGTCTTCTACGACGAGTAAAACAATTTCATATGAAACAGCAGTAGATATAGTGACTAGTCGTATTCCACCAGGCTACAGTCGAAGACAGTACCAACGATGGGTACTAGCTGAACATCATTGCCCTATAAGTGATGCCGATTTCGATTGTTTGGTTGAATTGGGTTTGATAGAGAAAATAGTTGCAATTCTTGGAGAAACTGAATATAACAACGAATGGCTCCACCACATATATGATTCGCTTTATGAAGAGGAATACGAAGACGAAGACGAAGACGAAGATGAAGGCGAAGAAGGAGTAAAAGAAAATGGAGAAGACTATCAAGTTGACGATGAACCAGTAATGACACAGGCTAGAACGCATGGTAGCGTTTTGAATGATGTTTCAAAACAGATTGAACTTTCAGTAAGTCCACGTCAGCATTTCATCCTTCATTGACATATGATTCTATTTTTGATTTAGAACAATGTGAACAATGCTGGTCAATAATCCTGCTTTTGTTTCTATAAACTTTATATTTAGCATGATAATGTTTTTTTCCCTCTTGATATATTCTCATTTATTTGCATGTCGTCTATACTCTTTGTCTTTTAGATTTCTGACTAACTCACTCAATAGTTTGTGTCATGTCTTCAATAACATCTTCTGAACAAGTTCCACTTGACAAAGTCGAGATACTTGAGCAACGTCGTCTTTTAGTCAAACATAAAATGCGTCTGTGCTTAAGAGATGTTATGCTACTCAACGAGTACAATTTAATGAAACCATTGATCGAAGCTCTTGAACGAAATTGTCAAGATGACGAATTGGATGTATTCATTGCATCTTACATAGCTCATTTGGAGCACAAGGATATTGAAGATGCAAAAATGCAGGAAGAAATGGCACAAGAGGCAAGATTATACAGAGAAGCACAAGGTGTTGACAATGCAGAGAATAATAGCAATAGTGAAGAAATGGAGACTGATCATTGATTGAATAAAAGCAGTTACTCGAATTGAAATAAAATGAATTTTCATCTTTATTTGTTCTAGATTTCATTGGAATATGGCAGATGGCAACAATGATGTCAAAGAGAAAGGTTATCAACGAGAAACAGCATCGCCTACTCTTTCACATTTCGGTATCGATCATGTTATGGAATTCCCGAAAACTACAGTTGATCTACCATGGAATATGAAACCTACCGAAGAAGAAACATGCACTTATCAGAAGGAATTCCAGATGAAGATGCAAATNACTATGGACACGGAACTGGATGGTTCTTCACATCGGCCAGCCTTGATCCAACTTCAATTTCATTCCACAGCACGAAAAGATGGCAAGATTACAATAATTATCTTCGAAATGTTACATTTACCTCCAGTGAACTCAGTGCTTTATCAACAAATCGAAAGATTAGTTCAAACTATCTTTCATTCTTCAAAAACGTTTCTCGTTTGGGGTAAAGGCGTTGATGAACTATCGAAATTTCAAGTTTATCCATTATTTCAATCGACAGCAATATATGCATTGCACTTTGCTAATGTGCAAGAAGAATTCAAACTTTGGTGCAATGATCAGCAACGGCAAGTATGGTCTTTGCAATTGGCTGTTGCTCGAACGTTTGGTCAATTTCTGGATAAATCATGGACAAGAAGTAATTGGGGTGTTGGATTAGATGTTCGTCTCTATCAAAATCTCCAACTGAATGAACTCAATTACAACGTCAAATCATCGTTAACTGAAGCAGAAGATCAAATTCGCTTGAAATTAATCAAATATGCTGTCGATGATTGTTTTGCCACCACCAAGTTGGCAGTAGCTATAGGATTGTGATTTTCTTTCTTTTTCTTTTCCATTCTTTTTAACATTATTTGAAAAGATGTTGTTCATTTTGTTGTAGATATAAGTAAAATTCCTTCACAGTTCTTTGGAAACTGATGGCTGAATCCAACAAGAAGGTATGTTTGTAATTCATTCTATTTTCAAAAACATTGATTTTGTTTGTTTTGGAATAGATTGGTGGAGAAATCGATCGATTCGAGGATATTTTCCATGGTCGTGATGATGATATCGATGAAAACGATGATCAACCTATCAATTTTGATGATTATTGGATGAATTTCGGTAAAAATGAACGAATCGAAGAAGCACAATTAAAACCATATGAAGAAGATGATGATGATGAACCCAATCTGGAATATCCTTTGATCGTTCAAGAAGTTCTACAACGAGTGGTAGCAGAAGTGGCAGCAACACCAAAGCCGCCATCGGCACAACAAGAAGTCGAACAAGAACAACAACTATCGCAACAATTTGGTCGATTATCAGCATCAGGATCGGTGCAGCGACCAACGGCGATTGAAAATATACCAAGACAATCAAGCCTGGGAATGAAACGTCCATTGTTAACACCAACGCCACCAACAACGCCGCAAGCAGTGGCGGCGGCAATACCAAAAAAATTAAAAAGTATTCAAGAACGAGTCAGCGACAATGAAATACCTCGATATTTATCTACGAACTGCAAGCTTTTCGATCGTTTCATTACTCCTCGATTGGAAAAAAATCATGTTCGAATTCCAGTGGAAAGTTTAAAAGCTACTGCAATCTTAAAACATCGACTGGCTTTACTAGATCTTCAACTACGATTATGGTCAACGTATTTGCAATCGGGTACGGCTCATTTACAAGGCAATAAACAAGACGTCGTGGCAAGATCGCATCTTGTTACCTGGCCAAAAGAAGTCAAAGATAGTATGCTCGACGATGGCTACGAAATGACTGGCACGGAAAGCACAGAGCATCAAACCTGTTTGAATTATGTCAATGAGAAGTTAAAACATCTCAATATGCAAAACGAACGTTATCAGAACCAGTTAAAACAACAAAAACAATCGATTGGTGTTGGCTGCAATTCTGTTATAGAGAAAGCAATCGATGAATTCGTCGAAGATCATAGTCTCATGTTTCATCGTCTACGAATTGACCAAGAAATTGCTCGAATTGAATTCGAATACAAAGATCGTCTACTGGAATGGGAATTCAATCTAGAAAATCCTTTTCAATCTCATGTTCGTTCTCTCTTTTCATCCATCCATCACCCTCACACTCTTGCTATTCTCTCTAGGTTGAAACATTCAAAACTCTTACCAAGTGTCATCTGGCCAAAGAAGTTCTCAAAATGGAAGTATCCTTGCTCAAACAATATGTTGTTAAGAATTATTTGCCAGATTATTTGCGAAAATTCCAACTACCCAAATTGGATGCCATTGACACAATCGCTGATCCAAATATGCGTCAGCGTCTGACTGATCGATACGAGAAGATTCTGCAACGAACTGTGTCTGACATCATGTCAGTTCAAATTTCAACAGCTGAAATACAAAAGGAACAAACACAGAAAAAATTCGATAACGATATGGCTACATTCAAAGTCAATCAAGTACATGGGCCCGTCTACAATAAATTAACGAAAACCATGTGTGATGTGATGCACAAATGCTTTACAAATCAAAGTCAACACATATTAACTGTTTACAAATTGAAGCTACGTTTTTTCGGATGTGCTCCGACGGAGATGAATTAGATTTGGTTCACCGTCGGAGCGATACTCAAACAAACAAATCGCCGCTTTTATTTTATTCTCCAAATACATTTATTCATGCTCGTCATCATCTATCGCCCGATCAAATACACTTTCTTCAACGTGGTCCTACATATGTTTCACCTGGTCAATTACATCTCATACCCTACGATTCAATGATCGATCAAGTTGCATTGAGACAGTTGGTACCTTTGAAACAATCAANCAAGTTGCATTGAGACAGTTGGTACCTTTGAAACAATCAATGACAAAAGTCTTTTCCAAACTGCATATCGATGTTGCACGGCAAATGAACTTTTCTCGTTCGATCGAAAGCAAATTTCTCCAGTCATTTGCTCAACCATTACCAGCATTGGTCAAAGAACGTGCATTGTATGAACGAAATCTAATCGAATCGATTCAACGTCAAATCACCAGAGATCAACTGATCTTACAACGTACAGCTGATGAATACAATACATATTATCTTGGTCCAAAATATGATTACTATGATCTAGCTGATACTTACATACTAAACAACAAAGTCTACGATCTGGTGACTACTCTTGAAGGTCGCAATTCGACCGTGTCTGAACAACAGCTTGATGAAATAGTTCATTCGTGGAATTTTGCTCTCGAAGATCTATTCCAAAAGAAAATGATTCCGGATGACTTTTTGCAAAAATACAAAATCACCAATAAATCGCAAATGCAACTCCCATACATGTATTTTCTACCAAAAATGAGTCAAGTATGATTAAACTATCATTGAATTTCTAGTCTGATCGTTCTGTGTTTTAGGCTGGCGAAATTCTATCGTTGGAAGCAAGATTAACATCATGTCTTCAAAGTCCGAACTATAAATTGGCTAGTTATCTCGATGATTTCCTACGATTGAAAGTTCTCATGGGTTGCCAAGCGAGTGCAGTGCAAAATGGTGGTGATTTCATTCAACGATTGGATCAATTCTGCAATCAAACAAATAATATCAAAGCTGACACTTATTTGGTCACCTTGGAAATTCCAGAATTTTACTCTCAAGTGTCACATCAGAGTTTAATCATGACTCTGAATGATTTTTTACATACGCAAACAGTGAATGGTCGATTCGATCGACTTACTGTTACTGCACTGGTCGAATTAACTCATATTGTTCTACGAAATAATCTCTTTGTTTATCAACAGAAAATCTATCGTTACTTGCAAGGCTGTCCAAAGAACTTATCATTAATTGAACTATTGGGTAGCATCTACATGCATCGTTGGTCAATGAAATTAATTCGACAAATTCGTCTTACCAATGAATTTTATGCTCGATACCACAATACAGTTTTCTTTACCTGGAGTCAAAGCAAGTCTAAACTGGATCAACTACTGAAGAAGGTCACATTTACTCTATCAAGTAATCTACAAACGAAAATCTCGATTGGCAGCAAAGTTCATTTTCTTAATGCATACATTGAAAATCAAAATGGTCATCTACACACACGTGTTTACCATAATCCAAGCCAACAACTATTTCTCTTGCCATATGCTAGTGAACATCCACGTTTAACACATCGACAATGGTGTCGATATGCTCTTGTACGTGCCGTTCAATACTGTGCTACAATGGCAGATTTCCACGAAGAACAACAGTATATCGAATTATCCTTTTTGGCTAATGGTTATTCATTAGATTTCGTTGAATATCATCTACGTCAATTCTTCAAACGCTTTGCTCATGTTTATCAGTCGAACGTTTCCATGAATCAGAATCGATATATGAAAATACGTCAGGAAATATTTCGATTTGTGCAGCAACAAAAGGATGCTTACCGTGAACAACAACAATGCATTCAAAATCGTCGTTTGCTGTCGTTCTACTATCTGTTCGATTGGGGCACTCGACATATATTCAATACAGAATTCTATAAACTCTGGAATCAAATTATCAGTGAAGATCCCAATTTCAAAGCACAAGGTTACCAAGCTATTCTGAAATCGAAACATTGCTATTCATCTTATACACTTTTGGCTCAACGATTCATTCATCATATTTAATTGAAATCTTTTTCAGTTTTCTTATTTTATTGCTTTTGTTTGCATGTTTTTCTTCTTTATTCTAGATTATCTTTTCGATCATGTCAAATTCAAATCAGAATATTGCTGATGATCTGGATAACTTCGATGATATCTTCCATAATTATGGTGATGATGTAGATGAAAAAGATGATGCGGAAATTGATTTCCTAGCCTACTTGACTGATCCAAGCA